GATTTGTCTACTACAGAAACAAAAACTAAATTTTGTCTAAAAGACGGTACTACAAAAGTATCTTTTAAGTCCAAATATGAACCAGTTCCTAATAGCAACCTAAAGTGCCCAATTGCTTCCACGTCTATCGATTGTTTGTCGCCCACAAAGATGTATCTTTTAACATCACTTGGCTTTCGGTAGCTCAGGTAGCCCTGCATAGAAACACTTATGTAAGTAGTAGCACCAGAGTCTAACCACCAAGTGTTCTAGGTACTGAAGCTAAATTAACCTCAGAATAAACCTAAGTGAGGAACATACCCTTCTTAGCACGCCAGACGTGATATTTGGTATAGTCCTTCTTCGCGTGTCCAGATTTGTTACAGAAGAAACAGCCATGATCATCCTTATGTTGTTTCTTTTGAACAACACCTTTAGTAGCTTCATTATCATTCTTTCTTTTTTTGCCCTTATCCTTAGAGGCATAAGCCAGATGAGCACTTTCTGTCTTATCTTGCTTCAACTTGTTTTCTTCTTACACACAGTATGAAATGATCTCATTTAGAGTCCATTTCTCCTTTTGACAGTTATACATAACCTTAAACTGATTGAATTGTGCACGAAGAGACAAGAGACCAGATGCACAAGTAACTCATCATAAAGATCGAGTTTAAGTGCCTTAGGTTTTGAAGCAATATGAGACATTTCCATAATGTACTCCATGATGTTTCCCTTGCCTTTATACTTCATCGAAATCAAGCGAGCTAAAAGCGTGCTTATTTCTATCTTATCGTTTTTTGCAAAACGTTTTTCAATTTCGGCAAGAAAATCTTTAGTCTTAGTAACATCTTCGGATTCTATGCCGCTGAAGGCTTCCGGAACACCGCGCTTAATGATCATAAGAATCATGTAATTTGAACGCTCTCATTTCTCATACTCCTTCTTAACATCAAGAGTGCTATCCGCATTGATAGGTTGTGGTTGTTCAGCTCTTAATACAATGTATAGATCCATGCAGCCAGGAACAATTAATATGCTCTCTTTCCAAACCTTAAAATTTGTCCCATTGAGCATGAGAATTAAGTTGATGTTAGCAGAAATTATTACACCAGATGCATTAGCTGAAATAAACAAAAGATACTCATATTATTAACTGTAATTAGTAATCAATAAAATTTAAATAATGACAGATCCCATCTCAAGATATCTGACATAACATTAATATTAAGTCTTTGGACAATAATATTAATTTGTAAGTGATACCTTGTTACAATGATCAAACACTGACAATAACTCATGTCAAATAATAAAACTATTTTTGAATTGATTCATTATTCACATGTAAACCTTATAATTATCACACGTTTATCATTACAGATGTGTATGCAGTCTAAATAAATATTAACATTCCTTTGAGCCGATTAAATATTTACACGAAAACATACACACAATCATCTAACATCTCTCATGAACAATCTACACAAGAGAGATTACTTTGTCAACATCTTGTTTTAATTAATCATTTGGAATGAGAGATAAACTTAATACCTTAGTGTCATATTATTTAAATTAAATAATTGATTAACTACCAAATTTAATTCAAATTAAACAATTTTAATTCAAATTAACTAAATTTCCAAAAAAACTTAATTAGGAGCTCATAGCTTAATTAATTAAATTAAGCATACTAAAAATTGGGTCCATAACTTAATAAGGACCACAAGTTATGTTTTAGTTGAAATATTCAATTAAACTAATCTTAAATAGTTGTAGGCCCATAACCAAATGGACTTAATTGAGAAATTCACATCCAGGCCCAAAAACAAACGAAGCTTAAGTGGGATTGGACTTGTGCTCTAGCTCACACAATCAACTGCAGCTTTCTTCTTTCACCCGAAGAGAAAGAAAGAGCTTGCCCAGAAATTAAAGCTTAGCCGACTCTCCCCTGAACCGAACATAAATCAAGGCTCGTCAGAAGAGAAGCCGAAGCTCGACCAAATGAGCCAATGAAGATCAAGCTCGCCGAGGTTGAGTGTCGCCCTTGCCAGAAGTCGAGCTTCGAAATGCTCGCCTGAATTGAACACGAGGTTCGCTTGATGTGAACTGAAGTGAAACCAAATCGAAGCTCGTAGAGCTCGCTTGAGGCTCGATTTCGAAGTTCGCCTAAGATCCGAACATCGAGCTCGCCTATAATGAGCGTCGACTATGCCTGAGTCGAACCGAAGCTCACTTGAGTTGAACCCGAGGTTCGACTGAAATTTGAATATGAGGTTCGACTAAAGTTCGAACACGAGGTTTGTCTAGAGCAAATCGAAGTTCGCTGAAATCAAACCGAAGTTCGTCAGAAGCCTTCAACATGTCTGAATCGAACCGAAGTTCGTCAAAAGCCTTCAACATGTCTGAATCGAACCGAAGTTCGTCAAAAGCCTTCAACATGTCTGAATCGAACCGAAGTTCGTCAAAAGCCTTCAACATGTCTGAATCGAACCGAAGTTCGCCTGAGGTCAGGTAAGACCTCAAATCCTAATTTCTCATCCACCCCCTTAGGGTTTAGATGTGAAACACAGCTGCCGCCTGGGCTGCAGCCAACGAACACCAATTAGGGTTTTGTTCTGAAAACCGATGCCGCCACTGTCTTCATTTGACAGTGGGGTCGTCGTCGATACATCTCCGGCGAGGAGTAGGTGAACGACGACAAACCAAAAATAAAAAACCATTTTCCTTTTGTCGATTTTGAACTCAATCCAGATCCGAAAATTGATACGTTGCACACACTTTGATCTGAATCTGAATCCATTTCAGATCCAAACATCCGAAAAAGGAATCAAACCAAAAAGAAATGAACTTTATAGTTCATGAGTGCAACAGATCCAAAAACCGAAAGAAAAACCAAACAAAAAAAATAAACTTTTACTGTTCATCCGTGAACAGTTTTGAAAATATACATATTAAGTTCGAAAAACCCAATTTTAAATCTTAAACCCCTAAGAAATAATCACGGTGGCTCTGATACCACTTGTTGCATTTTACCATGATTAAATCATAGATATTAAACATCAATAAGAGCGGAAGCTATACCTGAATTCATTGCTTTGATCTGAATTAGGGTTTTGATGATCTTCTAATTTTAGGGTTTCTCCTTTAGTATCTTTTTAGATGGAGATAAGAGAATTGAGTTTGTTAACCCTAGATTAGGGACCATAACCCCATATATATAGGTATTGTACATTTATAATTTGGCCCCTCATCAAATTATAAATACAACCTGGTATCTGCACATTTAGCTCATAATTTATTTAAATACCCATTAAGTCAAATCGATTGATCACTTTATGCGAGTTATCCTTAAGGATAGAAATACACACTGATAAACATATGTGCTCACAATTAGATTTAAATCCAACATTTAGTTGAAGGGTTTGTTTTAGTATTATTTTTTTTAAGATTTTAGTTAAGAACTATAATTGAAATTGCTTAAAAGAGCGTAGCGGTCAATTACTTATGCCAAAATCTACATATTATTTGTTACAACCGGAAAACTAAAGATTAAAAAGTATGCAACTAGCGCAGACGTTTGTTTTCAACAAAACTATATATGACAAGTTATTATGCATGTTAATTTTATGTTATTAGATTACTAATCAAACTGAACGCAACAATAACTATCGTTTATTACTATTTTGATACGTTTAGCAATTGGAGTTGTACTAACATCTAATCGTGCAAAGAAGTTGCTCGTTGAGATGGAATTGTAACTATATCAAATGTTGCATGCAAACATTTGTTGCAAGAATCTGCTACTTGGATTAAATACATTTCTGAATCTGAATTCAGTATTTTATGAGTTAGATTTACATGGCAGATTCCACCGCAAAATAAGAGCTTGTTTAATCAAGTAAGAACATCTCTAATAGTATACTCTATATTTAGAGGGTTTGAAGAGAATATTCTTCAAGATTCCTCAAATATATATAGAGGGTTTGTAAAAGTTGTGCTCCAATGGTGCCCTCTATATTTATATAAATTAATCTATCATTAACAAACTAATGATGTAAATAAAATAATTAAAACATAATTTTTTGTACAAAAATTATACCTTTAGAACCGTCTCGCCGAAACATTTTAAATGAGATTAATATTGAATATTTTTAGAGTCATTTTAAAATTAGTTTATTTTAATATAATAAAATAAAAATATTCGTTAATAAAATAAATACGTGGGGATCTATATAACCCGCCCCAAAGGAACTATATTCAGAAATACAAGATAATGCTGATTCAACGAGTGCTACATTACATCTTGACTACTTGTGTAATACTACATAATATGATTGTGGAGGATGAACGTGAAGAAGAACTAGATAATGCTGATTCAACTCAACCTTCAAATGTTGACGAGATGGATGACAATGACGATGAAAGATTAAGACAATTCCTCGCTCGACATAGGAAAATCCAAGATCGGGAGGCTCACTTTGAAGTTCAGAATGCACTCATTGAACATTTATGACAAAGACATGGTAATAGAATAATGTAATTTTTTAAAGCTTGATTTATTTTAAATTCTCTGTACTTTAACATTTCATAATGATAAATTTGAAATTAATATTAAAAGTATTAAATATTAGTCTCATTTTGAAGGTTTCGACAAGACAATTTCAATGATATAATTTTTATTTAAAATTTACTAATAAATTTAAAATTATATTAAGTTAAATAATTAGTTTAATTATATTCAAGGATATAATTGGTATTTATGAAAAGTTGTAAATGAGATGGGAAGGTAAATTTGGAAATAAAATATATAAATAGTATTTTAGAGGGATCCCTCTGTATGAGCCCAAACCCTTCAAATATAAAAAGTTACTGTAACACTCTTTTAATATAGATGGTGCTACAGTTATACCATTGGAGCCGATGGTACTCTATTTATAGAGGAATGGAGTACCATTGTAGATGCTCTAAGCCCAAAGCCCAACCCGGCCCATTTTCAGATATAATCCCAGGGTTTTAAATACAAAACCTAGGGTTACGACTTCCCTCTCCTCTCGGAACGGCGGCAGCTCTATTGCAGGACGCAGCTCGACACAGAGAAGAGAAAAATTCACAATGGCGGATAACAAAGAGAAAGCAGTCTCGATCCGCACCCGAAAGTTCATGACCAACCGCCTCCTCTCTCGCAAACAATTCGTCAGCACTCTCTCTCCCTGTCAAAAACCCTAATCCCTCTTTTCTCTGCAATTTTTTTGATCAAATCTTAACATTTCCCCCATTTTTAGGTCATTGATGTTAATCACCCTGGAAAGGCCAATGTCTCCAAGGTACTTGGTTGATTTTTATCAAAAGCTCTAATTTTTCAAATAAAATTTTTGGAGAAAAGTTTGATTTTTGTTGTTGTTTTTTTCTTCTTAAGGCGGAGTTGAAGCAGAGGTTAGCGACTTTGTACGATGTTAAGGATCCGAACTCGATCTTCGTGTTCAAGTTCAGGACTGCTTTTGGAGGCGGGAAGTCAACTGGGTTTGGATTGATTTACGATTCTGTTGAGAGTGCGAAGAAGTTCGAGCCCAAGTATCGTCTCATTAGGGTAAGATTCTGAAGTATGGTGCTTTTTGTTTTGATTTTAAATGCATTAATGGCTTATTATTATATGTCGAATGATTTTAGCTGTTTGCGGTGTCTAATGCGTAAAATGCTGCTCTCCATTGATTGATATTGAATGGTAGTCACTCAGTAATCATAAAAGCTGTGTGAATTCTGAATTGTGATTTGATTGTGAGTTACGCCTAGGCTGCCAGGCTCGTTGAGCTGGGAGTGAGATTAGGTTGGACAAAGAAGTCTTTTAATTGAATCCTAATAGGTAGGTGATTTGATAACTGCATAACGCATACGCTGTTTGATATGGATAAGATTGAGAAGAGCAAGTGCAAGAAATTAGCTTAGTCAATTTTTTAATATATACACCTCCTGTGGTTATAAAATGTGCTGTCTTTTATGAATTTATTAAATAAACATAGTAAGTTGATAAAAAATGTGGAGTTTATGTGCAAAATATCATTGCTAATCGCTTAAATGTGTCACATACTCAAATTAATCTTTCTTCCTCAAGTCGCATTTCCAATTCTGTATAAAGTCATTGTATTGAAATATGTTATACATTTTCTAGGAATCTGATGAGAAACACAATCAATTCTTTTAAGTGATTCTGTGTAAACCTAAAATCAATTTATATTTCTCTGCTGTGGTCCTTGTATAGATTTGTTCAATCTATCTAGTTTTTCTTGAACTTGTTCTCATTAGCTAATGTTTGTAATAGTTGCTAATCAGTGTCTCCGGGGAATACACAAACTGATGTTGTAGTGCTGGGTGCTGGAGTGGGCTGAAGTGTTCATAAAGGCTCTAGAGTGCATGAGAAAAAGCATGTTTTAGTCACTTTGCCCCAGATAGGTTTATACAAGCCCCTAACTCCTAAATTATTTGTCAAACCCCAAACACTGGAGATGTTATTTATATAGCATTATGTTTTCTCAGTAGTTGATATAAGCTTTTAGAACACAAAACCTGTGTCTAAATGTAGGTTGTAAATGAATTGTTGAAAAATAAAAACTAAAATCGAGAAATGAAAAACTTATAGGATCCAAATTTGAATTGTTGTCGTGATGCTGGTAGTGGGCTCCTTTTAATTTTTTTTTCTCTATCATCATTTTGTCAATACCTTTTTGTGAGTTATGAACTTTGAATTTGCAAATCGCAGATGCTAAAGCGCATCTCTGATGTCCATCTTATTTGGACTTTTGAAGCAAACTTTGGCATCTGTCTTATCTGCTGAAGTCATGAATGAGACCTTTCCTCTTGTAGTAACTTATCAAGAGCCTCATTTGCTTTTGTTTCTTTTTTCCTGAATGTTCAATTTAACAATGTTTGTTAGCCCTTAACGTTAACCAAGAAAACCCGATACTCCCAGGGTCCTTTTGCTTCGTTTAGTCATTGCTCTTGCAGGTTTAATATCATATTCCATAAATAAGGTTGGCTTTTTTCCTTCTTGAAACTGTAATAATATCTTAGATCTGTCTGTCATGTTCTTGAGATATTTATACCTTATCAACCCCACTTTGATCACATCATAATTTTTACTTTTGTACCTTACTATAAGGTCCCAAACTTATTATTGCCTGGTAGAGATCTGAGTGTAAATGTCCATTTGGTATTTTCGACAATGTAGTGTATGAAGACATGCTTTATATTTGTCCATTGGACACCAGGTCCATGTCCGGAGTAGTTTTGTGGATACTGCCCAGTATATGGTTGCGTGTGTCTGTTCGTAGTAAGAGAATTAGGGGGCTGCTGTTTGCTTATACATGCCTTTGATCTATAAAAACTAGAATATTCATTCTCATATCTTTTAGAGATGATGACGTGTGTGTTTGGGTTGAAAAATGTGACTGCTTAGTGATTCGGTTAGTCTTGAGTTTAGGGCATTGCATTTCGATTGATGGCAGAATCATTTGCTTCTGCAGTACTCCGTAAGACAAGTTTTTGGTGTTTTGTTTAACTACATGCCTGTATGCACGCATTGTAGCTGAAATTATACTTTTTGCAGAGAGTAATCTTGTAGACTGACATCCTTTTCCTTTCCTGTTCAATTAGCAACGTCCTATTTTTCTACTTGTACTGCTGTATCTACGGCTTTTGTGTGGATAAAGTGATTGGAGGTAGTTTTGTTGCCTAACAAATGCTTGTGTTTTGACAGAATGGATTGGCTACAAAGGTTGAGAAGTCTAGGAAGCAGATGAAGGAAAGAAAGAACAGAGCAAAGAAGATCCGTGGTGTGAAGAAGGTAATTTCATCATAAGATTTTCTTAAAGTTCATCATATTGTAACATTTTGTAGTATATAATTTTGCTAATCGTCATTTTCAGACAAAGGCCGGAGATGCTGCAAAGGGTGGAAAGAAGAAATGAGGAATCATTGGCTCTATCATGATCATGATGTTCTATCATAGTTTTGTTTAATTAAGTTTTGGTTTGGACTGAGTTTATTCACATTACATTGTGCCTTACGGTTTATATTTAAAAATTCTATGCTAATGTGCTTTAGTTTAAGACCTATATTGGGACACAGGTTGCCTAGTGTTGGACCTGCGCTTTTATTTAACCCCGGAAATTGAAGCGGTGGTTTTTTTCTGTGTTGAGAGCTGTTGTCGTTTTTCATTAGGACGAGCATTTGGTTCTTATGGAGCGTCGATGAGTTATTGAATTTGAATTCTCAGGCGTTATTGAATTTGAATTCTCCAGTCTTTAGTGGTTGGATTAAATTCTAAAAGATTTGTCCAGGTTTCAAAAAGAAACTGGATATTATTTTAGGACTTCAATATTTTCATCCATAACTACATGAGATTTTCTTCATGAACGAAGAAACTGGATATTATTTTAGGACTTCAATATTTTCATCCATAACTACATGAGATTTTCTTCATGAACGCGGAAAACAGAAATTATAGATTTGGTACAATATTTTCATCCATAACTACATGAGATTTTCTTCATGAACGCGGAAAACAGAAATTATAGATTTGGTAAGTCACTGCAAGCAATAAATTCATCCATATCAAATAGCTAATTCCTATATTTGTAGCATTGCTATAAATAATTTATTTAAATGGCAACGATTATCTAAAAGTTTAATAAACTTAATTACAATAGTTCAGTTATTTTTCTTAACATTTACATTCTATTTAAAGTAGGGGTTTTTTTTTTTTAGGCACATTTGTTTACTCAATTTTATCTTTAAACCCAAGCATTATTACTTGTATCTTTAAGTCGAACTCTATTTTTGTATTTATCTTTAAACCCAATCTCCAAAATACAATACTTCAAAAACTTGTATTTATATAGAAACAGGGTAAAGTTCCCAAAATACCCCTTTCATTAGCCCATATAAACCTATTTCCCTCTCCTTATTTGCCTTTTTTTTAATTTCAGCCCTAGTTGAAAAACGAAAATCACCCTTCTCGTGATCATCCCCG